ACCGCGTGCGTGCATGACACCGCGCGCTCGCTCGCTCGCTCCCCGCGCAAGGTATTGCGTTTCACGCACCACTCGCAGGGGCCGTATAAACAACCGAAATTAACTCCCGTGTTATCAGAATCTTTTTTTAGGCACAGATTGACAAATTTGGAACTCGTCAGCTCCCGGGGCGTCGCGTGACATTCCCCTCCACGGTCGTCGCTGCCGCCGCCGCCACCGCCCCTTCGCATTTTCTCTCCTCGCGTCATTGTTACTCATCGTCAGCGAGCCACCTGCGGGGGCGGTAGGGGCCGTGCGGCGTCGGTGGTGAGATGGCAGCGCTGCGCCGCTTTAACATCGGCCCATCGTAAAAAACAAAAAATGCAAACCTCCGCCCGGCTGTGACCGTGCCTGCGGGCCCCCGGGGCAATTAATCACGGCGACGGGTCGATGGTGCTCGGTGCCAGTCACGTTCCTTCCCAGCCCCCCCCCCCCCCACCACCGCCTACCCCTTCCCGCCGCCTTCAAACCTCCAGACGCATCGTCGACACGGTCATTTATAACCCAGCCCCAACCCACACGCCCGCCTGGGATGGCGCTGCCGTGTTGCAAGTGGTTAGTCCGCCGCACTTGCAATCCAGAGGGTCACACGGTTAGCTTCGAAATCCCGGCACGGCGTTTGAAACATTTGGGTGAATTACTTCAATCTACTCTCCCCCCCCCCCCATCCGCCTGCCTACCCAGCAGTACAAATGGGTACACCACAGATAGTCAAATCGTTCAGATCGCGCGTGTCGTCCTTGGCGCGTGCGGTGTCCTTCTTGTCCTTCCCCCGCACACTCCGATCAGCACGGTTGGCCCACGTACGGTGCGAAAGAAGTTCTGCGTGCGTATCACAAAGTGTGGGTCAGCCCCACGCTTTACTCAAGATGTCTGGCCGGCACGGCGGTCGGCCGAGGGATGCTCGAGAGGGTCTCTCCGGAGCCTCGCTCTAAGCGGGGGAGGCCCTTCCGCCGATTAGTGGCGTGTGAGCAAGCGATTGCCACCGTTGTTATTGAAAACTTCAATAGTAACGCAATTTTATTTCCCGCTCCCCTCCTCCCCCCCTCGAATGATTTGGCCATGGTGTGCAGTTCAGCCCCTCCGAAATGTTGCCCCCACTGGTGGCGGCGAAGCGCCAGAGTTTATGTTAATGAATAAATTGTGCCGCTCCCCCCCCACCCACCCAAATAGAACTAACTTGGCAGGACCCTCCTGGAAACGAGATTCGGAAGCAAAACAACGAAAACAACAATTATATTGCTTGCAGGGAACCGGACGCAAGAGGAGGGACGATTAATCTTTGACGAGCGCCGCTCGGCACGTCCTTGATTAGCCGGAGTGCGACTCGTCTCCGCCGATCACGTGGGTCAAGCCGCCCCTTGCCCCCCCCCCCCCACACCCCCGCCCCCCGGTCTCCTTGTCCCCATGCAGGTCTGGTTGACCGATCGCCTGTCACTTAGCGCGAGCAACATTTCCCAGGAGTGATTGCCCGCCGTAACGTCGTGCGCGCCTCTCTCTCGGGGGCCTTGCGCGTGTCTCCACGGCTCCGGAAAAAGAACGCCCGGTGCTTCCCTCGTGTTGTCCCTTTGTATGTTCGTATGTCATCATCGTCGTCATCATCATCATCGTCGTCATCGTCGTTATCTTTCGGCCACGGTCTAGCCCGCTTCCGGATGAAGGCCTCTCCCCAAGACATCGCCGTCTCTCCCAGCGATGGCAATCGCTGCCTAGCGACCTGCACACGACTGCGATTTTCTCTCTCCTTTGCTACAGCGGCGTGATCCCTCCTTTGGCTGCCATTCTGTGGCGCCAGTCTCGACCGCCTGCCACGTGTCCATGTTTACCTTTCTTAACAGTCGACGTGATGTCTCCAGCTTGTGTATGTTCTCTAAATGACGCGTTCCTCTTCTACTTGTCACTCAGTTTAAACCCCACGCTCGCATGTTTCCATGCTTCTTTGAGCACCTTTCAGCTTTTGTTTCCATTTTTCTTTTTGTCCAACGGTGTCCGCGCTTCTGATTCACGGGTACATAGCAGGACGTGCGCACCCAACTGGGCATCTGCGATAAAGAGCTTCACAGCTCATCGGATTTCTCCAGGATAAATAAAGGTTGTGATTCCGTATGAAAGCCCTGATGAAACACCTTTCCTTGCCCTACATTCCCTGCCGCTCTCTCTGCGCCACACCACTCCTGCGAGAAGAAAGGGTATTGGGGGGGGTGGTCGGGCCCTCCTAGCCTCTATTTATACAGAAGCTTGGGCCCGATCGGGTTCAACGTCTCAGCGAGTGGGCGACCGTGTGCACGCACTGCGCGCGTCAGCTGCTCTGTGGAACGCGGGGCACGTCGTGCAACACTTGAGCAGGAATGCAGCAAAAACTTTGACGCGCAGAGACGTTTTACACGGTCGACTTGGACCTGTTACGGCGGGGTCTTGAAGCACGTGATGTCACGGCAACAGGGGATGTCGGGGTGGGGGGGGGGGTGTTGTTGGGGTGTGGATGTCGGGGTGTAGAGTGATGGCTGTGTGGAGTATGGAATGAGAGATGTGAAACTTTGAGGGTGCGATGGGTGTGTCCCGGTGCGGAGCGTTATGGGTTTGTTGGGGTCTGAAGGGGAGGGTTGTAGATCCATAGGTTGTTTCTGGGTTAGATCGCGTAAATATATAAATGTGTCGTTAAACCCGCCACCACCTGACACAGCCAACTAGTAAGAGTTGTCACGTAAGTAGAACGTGACCAATTCATCACTAGTACAGCACACCGGTGTGTTGGAAAGCCAAGCCACAACATTTACAATCTGAGTACGACGTTTCACAAGTAATTACAACTAGCTTCATCCGGGTTTAACGACACATATATTTACGCGATCTAACCCAAAAAAACCTGTATTATGGATGATATTGATCGCAAAAGCCTGCGTGTTAAACTTGGTTGTAGATTTTGAGATTTGGAGTGTGTGTGTGGTTTGGAGTGTGTGGTAGGAGCTGGGGAGCAGTGGCGTAGTGGTTAGCGCGCCGCGCTACAAACCCAGTAACCAGTTCGATTCCCGCCGACGGTCACCAACGCCAGTGACGATTATTTGAACCGGTCCTGGGCCTTCCCAAGGTCGCCTCAAACGAGTACTTGCTGTGGTGTGTAATCATCGGCACTGGGTAGATGAACGCGGCCAGACGTGGTGCTGGCCACCCGCCCCCTTCGCGTGCCGTTCCGGCCTCCATAGGTGCTGCTCAGAAAGCAGCACTTGCCCCAACAGTCTCTTATGGCTATGCGGGGGGGGATCTTTGTCTTTGTGGCGGGGAGGTATGTGTCGTGGGATAAGGAGCGTGGAGTTCGGGGTGCGGTTTTTGGTGTGTGCAGCTCGGCGGTTGGGGTGGGGGGGTGTCTGGCGAGAGGCGGTTAGCGTCGGGTGTTGGAACTTTGGTTGGGGTGAGGAAGGGGGGGGTGGTAGGGGGCGGCGTGAGGTGTGGGGGGCGTTGGGCGGCCGTCGGTGCTGGCGCGGCGGTGAAGTGCGCGGGGAGGGTGTGTCCGCCCGCCCGCCAGCCCGCCCGCCAGCTCTCGCTCGCTCGCTCGCCTGGCTGGTAAACAAGGAAGTTGGGGCCGCATGCGGCACGGCTCCTCTCTCTCCCGAGTGCACGTTACAATAATAAAGCACAAACGAGAACGGCGGCTTGCGTCACCGCGGTTAAACTGAACCTCGCCCCTGCCCGGCGGGCCAAAGCTTTAAAAGCTGCCGGTAGTCAGGGAGGTGGGTGTGAGGGGGGGGGGTGCACGTCAGTCCGAGGCAGTACGTGACGACGGCTCCGCTGCTCCGTTGATGTTTGGGACCGCGCTTGGGTCCCAAACAGGGGGTGAGGGTTACTTTGGGTCACGTCCTTGCAGTCGTTAAAATGGCTGAAACGCGTCACCTGGGCATGTTTTTTTTCATGCCCCGAGCGAGAGACATCCGCGAGATTCTTTCCTTCCTTCAGAGTGTAGGACAAAAAAACATGAAACGCTCGTCACAAATAAAGCAGAACGTCGGAGGTACGCGCACGTACGTACGGCGCTTTTGTCAATCCACAGCTGGATGACAGCGAGCCTTTCCCGACTCCGTGCACGTCACGTGGGGTCGTTTTCCCATTCTTGACAACGCTCGGCAGGGCGGCACGAGTGACAGCGGGGCGCATAGAGAGTGAGCGTAGAAGTGCAGTACAACGACGTGATTTTTTTGGCTGAACCTCCTCCGGCTGGCAGTATTACTCCTGCAACAGTCCACAGGACTGGCTTTGGAGCTTAGGTCGGTGTCCTTTAGTATCCAGGGGTGGGTTGGTCGCAATTCCAAGCACCATATCCAGGCTCGCAGCCTGCTTAGATATTCTGGCATCTGTGATCGGGCGCATTGCAGGTGACTCGATGGTAGGACTATATTGTTGCATGCAGTGCAGCAAAAATCCATCATTGTACAGCATATCCACGCTCCCTGCATGTATATATTGTTGTCCGCGTCGACTAACCCGCGCCAAGTAAGCGTGGTAACGTACGGCGAAGTGGAGCCCTGTGGCTGACACGGTGGGCAAAGGCCTTCATCCAGAAATGGGTTTGCCTGGTGCGTGAAGGGTGAGGATTGCGTAGTCCCGCAGGGTTGTGTGTGTGACGGACACTGCTGATGAGTTGGAGGCATTCGCCCTCGCACATCAACGGAGGGCAGAGGATCGACGCTCGCAACAAGGAACGGAGCGCCAGGCGGCTAAAACCCAAAACGTTGGCACAGTGGAGAGCACAGTTGGTGCATCTGCCAATCATCAGTCAACCCATGACACCTGGGGTCTGTCCCGTGACCTCCTGTCAGCGAGCCTTCAACACTTGACGTGAAAGCCTCGCAGTGCACCTGGCCTGGCACAAGTGTCGTGGTGATGTCACCGCCACTTAGTGGTGAATGGTGGTTGTTGTTGTTGATGATTGATTTTGTTTTCTCCTTTCGGGTCCGTGTGCTCTTCAGCGTAGGTTGAAAGCTGCGATGCGGTAGCTGGCGGACGACTCTGTTCCTGGACCAGCGGGTGACTCCGGGTGACCGGGAGCCGGTAAGTGACCTTGGCGACGCAGAGGCGGCAGTGGCGGTGGCCTGCTTGCCACGATTATTATCATCATCATCGTAGTGCAGTAATTCCTCGTTTAACGTGGTAGGTGCGTTTCTGAAAAGCGCCGCGTTAAGCGAAGAATTACCGTACCGAATCACGTGTGCACTGTAAACTCGGCCTGCAGTCATCCCGTGGCGAGACGGAGAACCGAGATGAGGGCACGCCGCTGTATCACTGTATCACTGTACCACTTAGCCGCGTAGCTCAAGAAAGTAGTTCGGTGTTGACCGCTCAGAAACCGCATTCAAATCGTGCCCATTCCGTGTTATTATTGAGTACGCGTTCCACTTTATAACGGGTGGCGCCTTCCTCGATATAACGGTGGGGGGTGGGCGCTTTCCGCGTTGTGCAGGAGAAGCGTTCCTGAATGGAAGAACCGCGACATTGCGGAAACGCGTTGCGGTGTGAACACCGCTACGCGTTAAGCGAGCTCTCGCCCTACTATTATATTGTACTGAAGCTCGCGTACTCAGGCAAGCCCCAATGAAGACCCCCCTCCCGCACCAAAGAGGGTCTTGCCAAGTTTTCGCGGCAGCGGGAGATGTTCGCTGCCGCTGCCGTGTGATCTCATCGAGTGATTTTTCAGGTTATTTTTCTGAATTGGGGGGGGTTCATGAGTCATGCGGTGCATTTGCGGAGAATAATTTACCTGGGTGGCAATTTGCGTTCCAAATATAGCTCGTCATGCAAATGGTTTGCAAGGACTTTGGACGCTTTTGAAGTGGGTGGCTGCTGTGTTAGGTAAGCGTGGTAGGTTTGGGGGGTGGCGGGGGGGGGGATCGATTCGGGGGTGTGGTGGGTGGGGTGGGTGGGGGTGAGTGAAGAAGTTGGTGGATTTGCAACAAGCAGGCAGGGGCAGGTATGTGGGTCGATAAGTGTGTGAATCCAATAAAAGTTCGGCGCAGCAGAGAGGCGTGGACAGATGCGTTTGTGGAATTACACTGAGAGGCAGGAAGTCTTGGACTCGCTAACTGGGTGGGGGGGGGCACACCACGCAGGTTGGAGACGGCCGTCTGGGCCAGCGGGATTTGCGATCGCCGCTCGTTGCCGAGGTTTAGCGGTTCGAGCTCCAGCGGCTGCCCTTGGTGATGGCCGCGGTTGGACCAACCGTGAAAATACTACGCGCCCGTCTGAGGTCACAAACGGGTTTTGATTCCTTACCCGTACCCGTACCCGGCCGCACCAGGATCGCAAACGGGTTCCCGTACCCGGCCGGGTATGGGTAGCCGGGTATCGGGTAGGGTACGGGTATTGGGTAGCCGATTGCGACCTCTGGCGCCCGTCCGCCTTCACCGCGGTGGACGTCACGGAGATCCCGTGACGGCGTTCGGAAAAGAGAGCTTAGGCCGTGTGTGCGGCACGTGTGCTGGCGTCGCGGCGGTCCTCATTTTGCCAACTTTTATACAAGTTTCTCGCAAATTGCTTTAATTGGGTGAAGCGACGCAGAAACACCGTCCCACCACCCCCCTCCATCCCATATATTCTGAAACTGCCGCCGTGGTGGCGAGATGTTAACTCCCTCGCCTGGTGTACAGGAGGTCGCGGGTTCGATCCCGACCCTGAACCCCTGCTTGTATATTTTGAGTTTGCGTGTTCTCTCTCGCGGTGGTTGCGTGGATTTCTCTCCGAGCCCTCCAATATTTTTCCCCCTCCACTTTTAGAATGGACATCACGCGTTCAAAGTATTTGGCTGCTATAAATTTCCACACGACGATGATGAATCAATTCTCGTTGGGCTATCGTCTGCGCATACCAGGTCGCTTCTGAAAAAGAGCTACGTAGCTCAGTGGGGCCTCACCTGGAAAAAATAAAAAAAAAGTTGTAGCTCAGTCTCTGACACACGGCCCCTTCGCCAACAGCCTCGCTCAAACACCAAAGACGCGCGCAACGCTCCCATTTGATTTCTCCCGTCGTCGGCGTCGTCGTCATTTCCCCCTGGGGAAATGTAAAAGAAAAACAAACCAAACACCCGTTTAGGGGGAGGGCTGGAGGGTGTCACGGGTAAAGTATCCAGCCAAACCGGACTGCAGGGAACAAAGCAACAGGGGGTATTGTTTGACGGGCGAGGTGGGTGGGTGGGTGGTGTTCTCCGTATACGTACGTGGGTGTTCCTTGTCAAACTGACTTGAGCGGAATCCGAATCGACAAAAAAACAACTCGCGGTGTCCCAAGTTGGGGCCAAGGCATTACCGTGGCTCTTGTGAGCTGTGAGCGACGGTTCCTGATTCGTCCGAGCACCCCCTCTCTGGTTTTTATTTTATCTATCGGGGTGGAATGTCGCGAAAGTGTACGTGGAATCGACTGCGGCTGTATCGCCGAGTCTCTCTCTCTCTCTCGCGCGTGTACGGCTGGACGAATTGGAGAGGTTATGGCGCAGCCGTTCGATAGATTTGCTCTCGCCCCCAACTGCTGCTGGAAGAGCCTCCGGAGAGAGAGCCCCTCTCGCACTGGAAGTCTGCCCCAACTCGTTCCACGCTCGCCAAACTGCCCCGGAAATCGGTGGCAGTACAACCCACGCTTTACAACCGCCACACGCCACCTGCCGATCGGCTAACTGTGGTGTGCAACCCCATGTTATGACACACTCTTCTACTTACGAACGTTCGACTTAGGAGCTTTCAGAGATACGAACGAACCTGCCCGTGTTTGTCAAGTTGCCTGTTCGGATCGAGAGTCGTAAGTTCAACCGCCACGCAGTAGATGGCGGTGGTGGCATTCCACATCTGCAGAACGTGAGGAACCAGTGGCATCTACATCTACAAGGGATTGTTCAACTTTTAAGCCATTCCCCATGTTTAGTGTACACGCCGTGTTTGGAATTGACTGGAATAAGTTGGGACTTACGAAACAATTCGACTTACGAACAGAGCTGACGACCTAACTCGTTAGTAAGTAGAGGAGTTCCTGTATACTACTTTGGGGGGGACTGGTGTGGGGTGGGTGGGAATTAAGAAGCCTGACCATTGTTGCAACTGCCCTGCCCGGAGATGGAGCCAACAACCGCTGGATTGTAATTCCGTGGTGTCGAGCCTTTACACCGTGGCCGTGTTGTAACTGTGTCATCCAAAGTGAGTTATTTGCAGGTGAATGTTCAAATTTGCCACAAATTCGACCCCATGACGCCGGTACGCAATGGTGACGTTGCGGTGAGCTTTAATAATGCGGTTAATGCCACCTGCATTGTTGGGGCCATGTCGGACGCTCGCGTTCAACAGTGAAGCTACACCAAGGCACGCTTAGGATTATTCGAGTCTCACTGCCGACACGAGAGTGCTTGTAAGGCCACGTTGAATCGTGTTTAAGAAATCTACGACTTTTTATCACCGGTAACGAAGCGAGTGCTTGATCCTCACCCGGTTGCGTTAACCGTCGCTGTTATGCCCTCCCTCTCTACCTCCCTCTCTCCCTCCCCTCTTCCTCTTCTTCCTCTACCCCCCACCCCCACACCCTCCGAGGCAGGCCGGGCGGCTTCGACAACGATGCCCGTGCAAGCGCCGCAGTGGACCGAGTTCCTGTCGTGCCCCATCTGCTGCCATGAGTTTGACGAGACCCTTCGGCGTCCCGTGAGCCTGGGTTGCGGCCACACGGCCTGCAAGACGTGCCTCAACAAGCTGCACCGCAAGGCCTGCCCCTTCGACCAGACGGCCATCCACACGGACATTGAGGCGCTGCCCGTCAACTTTGCCCTGCTGCAGCTGCTGGGCGCGCAGGTACGTGCATGCGCGTACGTTTGTGCGTGCTCATGTTTGTGCGTGTGTGTGCGCGTGTGTGCGCGCGCGTACCCCCTTGGGATCGTTTTCTTACTTGTGTCGTACATTGTCGTTGTTGTCGTCATCACCATGTCGTAATCATCGTCGTCGTCATTAGCATGTCGTAATCATCTTCATTTTTATTATGCCATAATCATCGTCGTCATTATAATCATGTCATCATTGTCATCATGTTGTAATCATCGTCGTCATTATCATGTTGCAAATCATCGTCGCCATTGTCGTGTCGTCATCATTTCATAATCGTTGTCGTCATCATCGTCATCTTAGTCCTAGTCAATGTCATTGTCATCTCGATGGGAATCTTTTTTTCCAGCATCATAATAAAAAAACGAATAGGCTTTTGCGTATGTGTGTACGTATGCACGTTGAACTTCTTTCGCACCGCACGTAACCAGCCGCGCTAATAGGAGTGTGCGGGGGAAAGACAACAAAATGTCACAGAGCTACGTGAAGGCAAGCTTCGGATTGTTAATATTATAGGAGGTGTTAAGATGTGTTATCCACCTTTTGGCGTTGTTCTCTAGTCTAACAACGGTGGTGGGACAAGGCCACAAAGGAGGCGGTCTCTGCTGTAGGCCAATCAGTTTCAAAGACATTGCATACATTATTATTATCAAAGGATGTTTGTTTGCATATTTTACCACAAGCATGATGCGTGGTTAATGCGGACTGACACCTTTGGTGTTTGAAGATCTTAACACAGTATAATTTCCTGGAAGGGGTAAAGCGTATTCTGTTTTCATCATCATTGTCGTCATGACCATCGTCATCATCGCTACCTTGATCTCAGTCATCATCGTCAGCATTGTCATCATCATCATCATTGTGGAATGCTAATTTACAGCACGCTAATCGCGCTGCGTTTGCCCGATCCCGTCGGATTGCACCGGCAAACGGCGCGCATCGTACAAACTCCGCCACCGGCGTCGGTGATTGCCACGGCGGCGTCACGTGACCAATCGGCACCTCTCCCCTGCCCGCACAGGTGCCGGACTCGCAGGCGCCCGGCGTAGCAGTGCCGAGCGTGGCAGAGAATGGCGCCCACTACGACGCCTCCAAGAAGTGCGTGGAGGAGCTGGCGCTGCTGCTCAAACCTCTCAGCGGCGCCAAGGGTGAGTCCGGTGGTGGTGGTGATGGCGGTGGCGGTGGTGGTGATGGCGGCGGCGGTGGTGGTGATGGCAGCGACTGCTTATTTTCTCAGTCGGTCGACCCCATATAACACCTGTGTCCAGTCCCGTGACTTCCTACCAGCTGAGAGCTTCCACTGTTCACGTGATAGCCTCAAACGCCACCTAGCCTGGCACAAGCACTGCGATGACGTCGCCACCACTGGTGCCGATTGTGGTGGCGATGCTGGTGATAGCGGTGGTGCCAATTATGACGGCGGTGCTGGTTGTGATGGCGGTTGCGGTAGTATTAGTGGTGGTGGTGCAGGTGTTGGTCACGATGGTGATGTTGATGGTGCTTTTGTGGTGGTTTGTAAAACTTGTGAGGTGGCAGTACAGGAAGCAGTTTGGTGAACCCCGGCCTGGATGCTTTACCGAGCGGCCACCAAACCCACTGCAGGTTGTTTTGGGCTGCGGCGCTACATGGTGACCGGCACGGCAAAGCGTGGTCACATGGACCTTTTATATTTTGCAAATGAGACTGTGACCTCTTCTCTCGACTTCTCGCTTGTCACTTTGATCTTTCCTTCCCCGTGTATCAACAGTTCAATATTCACGCGCAATGTAATCGAGGGACTACTGTGTGTTGTGGTCTGGGGTTTGTTGTTGTTGTTGTTGTTGTTTCTGCCTTACCCCAAGCTTGCATTTGGTGTTGACATTTCCGCAGGAATTTACGTACTCATACCTGTCAACTCATACGGTTTACCCCGTATTCTTATACAGGAAAATGGAGTTTTCAGGTCCATACGGCGTACAGCCGTTTCAATACGGGCAACACATTTTATTTGTCTACTTGTTTGTTTCTTCCTTGTGATGGGACTTTGTAGGAGGAATGTTGAGATTTGTAAGGGCACGGGGTGACCAATAAGATCTGAATCGGTCTGTAATAAGGTAGGCACTGATAAGGGGTTGACAGGTATGTGTAATTATGCTATTTATACTTCTATAATTTTTGTTATATATATTTTAGTGACTTGCTAACTTGGCTCTGGTTGTTTGTTGATGTAACCTCACTGATCCCACCCCTCCACCCCCACCGTGCCCCTTGCTGGACATCCGTGAAAAAGATCGAGACGGTGCGTAACCCACCACGCGTCTCTCTGCCTGTGTGTCTCTGCCCCTATCCGACCCCCCCCTCCGCAGGCGTGGTGGCAGCGTCGCAGTCGCAGCTCTCGCGGCCCATGCAGCGCAAGCTGGTGACGCTGGTCAACTGCCAGCTGGTGGAGGAGGAGGGCCGGCTGCGGGCGATGCGGGCGGCGCGGTCCCTGGGCGAGCGCACCGTCACCGAGCTCATCCTCCAGCACCAGAACCCGCAGCAGCTCTCCTCCAACCTGTGGGCGGCCGTGCGCGCCCGCGGATGCCAGTTCCTCGGGCCCGGTGAGTGTTGCGTGTGTGTGCGTGGGTGGGTGTTGTGTCTGCCGATGACTGGTATCAGCGGTGTCAAGATCAGCCTCTGTGGAGGAGGCTCGTGAAGGACGCTACTGGGCAGTTGGAGGCAGTCGCACTCCAACAACAACGGAGGGCAGAGGAGCGACGCTCACAACAACGAGCGGAGCGCCGGGTGGCTAAAGCACAGCAAGTTTGTACAGTAGGGGGCACAGGTGGTGCATCAGCCAGTCATCTCGGTCATCTCAGTCAGTCGACCCGTGGCACCTGAGTCTGCCTCGTGACCTCCTGCCAGCGGGCGTTCGACACTTCACGTGGCCTCAAGGTGCACATGGCCTGGCACAAGCGTCGTGGTGACGTCACCGCCACTTAGTGGCGAATGGCGGTTGTTGTGTGTCTGTGTTGTGTCTTTGTTGAGTGTGTGGGGGTGTTGTGTCTGTGGTGCGTGTGGGTGTCTGTGTTCGATTCCCGCTCACGGCCACCAACACGACCTCCCCTAGGTTGACTCAGTCACCCTCTCGCGTGCCGGCCTTGAAAGTTGCTACTCGCTAACAGCACTTGCCCCAACAGTCTGTTAATTCTATAGGGGGGGGATCTTTGTATTTGTGTCTACTTACGTAATTAGAGTTGGCGAAGCCTGTGTAAGGCCTCGCTGCATCCGTTGATTTCTCGTGGCTGAATGACGGATGACTCGGATGAAATCGTCATCTCACTCAATCCGGTCGTCATCGTGACAACGCTCGTATCCCTCGTTGCCTCCCCTGTCCGCCCCTCCCTCCCTCCCCTTCCTGACTCCCCCAGCCATGCAGGAGGAGGCGCTGAAGCTGGTCCTGCTGGCGCTGGAGGACGGCTCGGCACTGTCGCGCAAGGTGCTCGTGCTGTTTGTGGTCCAGCGGTTGGAGACGCGATTTCCGCAGGCGTCCAAGACCAGCATCGGCCACGTGGTGCAGCTGCTCTACCGCGCTTCCTGCTTCAAGGTACGCGCGCTCTTCCGGGCGTGCCGCCGTCACGGGCGCCGTCACACGCGCGCGCCAACTGTAGTTATAAACATGCCTGTGTACGTTCGTTGAACTTCTTTCGCACTGTACGTAGTAGCCGACCGTGATAATCAGAGGTGTGGCGAGGGAAGGACGACAAACTAAGCGCACCACAACGACGAGCAGTTTTAAAGAAATTAGTTTTCAATCTAGAAACACAACGAGCTGCCGTGGGAGGCTCCCGTGGGCAGCTTGCACCAGAGATGGTGAGCTGACGAACGGTACAACATGTACGCACGCAACAGAAGCCCATAACCCTAAACCCCCTAAGCCCCTAACTCTAGGCCTATAATCCTAAGCCATAACTATAAGCCCCTAATCCTAAGCCCCCCAACTCTAAGCCCATAACCTTAATCCCGTGATCCTCAGGTCATTACCGTAAGACCCTTATTCTAAGCCGTATAATGCTAAGCCCAAAACCCTAAACCCCGAGTCCTAAACCTCTTTACTCCTAATCCTAAACCCTTAAACCTCTGACCTTGTATGCAAGTATGTATGTTGAACTTTTTTGGCACCGTACATTACCAACCGTGCTACTCGGAGGTTCGGGGAAGGACAACAAACTTTAAACGCGAAAAAAATCAACCTTAACCGCTAACCCCCGTGTGTGGTCCCCCCATCTCTCCCGCCCCGGCGCAGGTGACGAAACGCGACGAGGACTCGTCGCTGATGCAGCTCAAGGAGGAGTTCCGCACGTACGAGGCGCTGCGTCGCGAACACGACTCACAGATTGTGCAGATCGCCATGGAGGCCGGGCTTCGCATCGCGCCCGACCAGTGGTCGTCGCTGCTCTACGGAGACCTGGCCCACAAGTCGCACATGCAGTCCATCATCGACAAGGTGAGAAGAGCCAGACCTGCGCACACACACACACGCCAGAGGTCGCAAACGGGTTTTGATTCCTTACCCGTACCCGGCCGCACCAGGGTCGCAAACGGGTACCCGTACCCTACCCAATACCCGGCTACTCGTACCCGGCTGGGTACGGGTAGGGTACGGGTATCGGGTACCCGATTGCGACATCTGGGATGAAGCCATGTTGCAGGCGCGGGTGGGTTGATTCTAGGAACTTGAATTGTGAGAAGAGACAAGACGTTGGGAAATGAGTGACAAACGGTTACTCACCAGTGACTCACGGCCTACCCGTACCCGGCCGCACCAGGGTCGCAAACGGGTACCCATACCCGTACCCGGCCGGGTACATGCACACACGGATACTTATATATGTACGTATGTAGACATGCAGTCCATCGTCGACAAAGCGAGAGACAGACTTGCGCGCAAACACACTCGCACACGCACGCATACGTAGACGCGCATGTATGTACGCGTGTCTGTAAAAACAAAGATCCCCTGTATTGTCTGAATAGACTGTTGAAGCAAGTGCTTTTAGCGAGCACCTGCGATTAGCACAGCTGGCTACGTACGGTGCGAAAGAAATTCAATAGACATACATACAAGGCCGGCACGGTACACGAGGGGGTGGGTGGCCAGCACCACGCCCAGCCATCTTTGTATTCTCCAAGACGATGTTTTTACACACTCGTGCGTGCGTGTGTTTATTTCTTGCGTCTGCCTTACCACTAACGCCCTCCGCCCCCCCCTCCCAACAGCTGCAGACGCCGGCATCGTTTGCGCAGAGCGTGCAGGAGCTGACGATCGCGCTGCAGAGAACGGGCGACCCCGCCAACCTCAACCAGCTCCGGCCCCACCTGGAACTGCTGGCCAACATCGACCCCAGCCCAGGTAAGGAAGTCTTACGATTAAAAAAAACTAAACTAATTTTTTGCTCTACCAGGTCCAGGCCCCACTGAGCTTATGTAGCTCTTTTTCAGAAGCGGCCCGGCCGTCACAAATGATAGCTGAACGAGAAGTGGCTCATCGTGTGGAAAAACCCGGGGACCCGGAGAAAAATTCACACGACTGCGAGGAGAGAACATGCAAACTCCAAATATACAGCAGGCTAGAAACAGCTCAGTCGTCCTTACCTGGTAAAATAAAAATTGTAAAAAAAATTGTTTTAGTGATACGTCCGGTTTAGTTTGAAGGCATGGGGTGGTAGGGGGGGGAGGGCCTGCACCCCCCCGCCCCACCGCTCCTTATGGGACAGCCCTGGTGGCCAGGGTCTCGCGATCAACACCACGGGGTCAAATCATCGTCAGGATCGCTAAGTCTGAACACGTCGGCGCTTTTCACCGGCCTTCACACCGACGCTTCCGCCCCGCACGCAGACGCGGCGGCGCCCACGTGGGAGCAGCTGGCGGCGGCGATGGTTGCGGTGAAGACGGTCGTGCAGGGACTGGTGGACTTCATTCAGAACTACAGCAAGAAGGGCTTCGAGCAGACACAGGTGCCCTTGCCACGACCACCACCCCCGATATTCGTCATCAACGTCGTCACCAGTTTTGGCACCGCTGTCATTGCTATTACCGTCACCGCCGTTATGCACGTCACCATGAGTATCCATATTCTTAGGTTTTTTCGGTAAAGTCACGTAGGTAAAAAATTAAAATTAATAAAAGTTAAATAAAAATAAAATTAAATAAAAATCACGACGTTTCGGAGGCAACACAAGCTTTCCTCTTCAGGTGGAACCGTCACAGCACGACTGCTTGTGTTGCCTCCGAAACGTCGTGATTTTTATTTGATTTTTATTTTACTTTTATTAATTTTAATTTTTTACCTACGTGACTTTACCGAAAAAAACCTAAGAATATGAATCCTTGCAGTCACGAAAGCTTCAAATCTAGAACCATGAGTATCGTCATTACAATCATCGACATGCACATCATCGTTTCTGTCCTTGTTATTTCCGTCATCATTACCATCGTGATCATTACTGTCGCCGTCGTCACCATCATCACTGTTACGATCATCTTCATCACCATGACCTTAATTGATCACATCGTCACTGTTACTATCATCATCTTCATTATCATTCCCTTCATCATTATCATCACCACTATGATTATCATCATCACCCACTGTAATTACCACCGTCGTTGGCACCGTCGCCATCGTCGTCACCTTTATCATCTATTTAAGACCGAAACAGGAGGATTTCTCCACAGCTCTGGCTGTCGCCTGATGATGCCGGTTGTAATTACTGGCGAAACGCCACGGTACACGAATTGTAAATGTTGTGGGTTTACTCTCCAACACACCGGTGTGCTGTACTAGTACACTATACACTACACTACTACAGTATACACTAGTGCTGAACTAGTAACTAATTGGCACGTTCTGTTTACGTGACAACACCTCACTAATTGGCTGTGTGGGGTGGCTGCGGGTTTAACGGCGCATTTATATTTACGCGCTCTAACCCAAAAACCTCTGCTGTGGATGATATTGGCCTACTACTTGTTAAAGTCACCGTTGCCCTTTGCGCGTTGTGTTCCGCGCCACGCAGCCGCTGCAGAACAGCAAGTACAAGACGAGCATGTGCCGTGACCTGACACAGCAGGGCGGCTGCCCCCGCGGCGCCAGCTGCACGTTCGCTCACTCCCAGGACGAGCTGGAGAGGTGAGAACGAATCGCGGGCGTCGTACTCCCGTCGTGCCGCGGTGACTCGGGGATGTTAACTCCCTCGCCTGGTATGCAAGAGGTCGTGCGTTCGATTCCAACCCCCTTTGATGCCTGCTGTATATTTGAAGTTTGTGGTGTCTCTCACCCCGTGGATTTTTCACGGGGCCCTCCGGATTTTCCCTCCACATGTGGAATCAACATCATACATTTCGAGGATTTGGCTGCTACTATAAAAAAACATTTCCACTTGATGATAAGCCAATTCGTTTGAGCTATCATTTGATATTTCTCTGATTTGATAGCCAGGTCGTTTCTGAAAGAGCTAAATAGCTCAGTGGGCCTTACCTGGTAAAATAAAAAATTATATTTTTCTATATCGGACGTCGCCCCCCACTGGTTTATTTCACTCTGCAACCACAGTTTTGTTTGTTGAGCTATCACTGTCCATCTGTCTTGTCTCTATCATGGTTCACGATAACTGCCCCTAAAGACAATCCGATACAAATTACATTTTTGTACAAAGTTACGTTGCTATTAGGGACTTAGTCTGGAGAAAATTGGCCTTATCGATCAGAGAATTTGCCCCAAACTTTGTGATAGAATCCAGCGCCGGATGGATCAGCCCTTTGCGGCCGAGGCGATGACATCACACGCCACACGCGTCTCACTTCCGCACCCCTCGTAATGTAATTACGCGCGACATCGTCTCGTCATCGACGCACGGCATCCCGATTTGCTCAAATGAATCTGAACAACGGCGACCTCTCGTACATCTTCGCGCTACCAAAACCACATGACCGCTTCCTCCAAACCCCCCCCCCCTCCCAACCAGGTACCGCTTGAAAAACAAGAAACTAGCGGGCGGTCGAGGCACCAGTCAATCTCTCACGCAACTCAACAAGGTTGGCATGGGCTCCTCGGGACTGGAGCCGCTTGCGTCCAAGCTCCTGCCCACGCAGAACGGCCTCATGAGCGGAGGCGGCAGCTCGCCGCAGCTGCTGGCGCGCGGCACGGACCCGGGTGGGTTCGGCGCGGAGGTCAGCGGGGGCCTGGGCCTGCCGGCTGGGCTCAGCATCGGCCACGCGGCCGGCCTGGGGGTGAGGATTGCGCTGGGAGGCGGCAAGGTGGGAGAGGCGAGCGCCAGCGCGCCGGGGTCGCTGTCGGGGTCACCGCCGGACAAGTAAGGGCGCTGGCATACGCACGCACGCACACACTCGCGCGCACACACATTCGCGTTTTCCGCGCGTAAGCATGTGCGCGCCCAAATGCACACTCGTATACGTACGGACACGCACAAATTTCACCAAGATAAAGGTCCTCTGTATAGTCTGCTAGACTGTTGGGGCAAGCTCTGTTAAGCGAGCGCCTCTGACGGCCTGCACGGCACACGAGGGGTGGGTCATGCAATTTTTCACGCACGCACGTACACAAGACAAAGACAGATCCCCCCGTATAGCCTTAACAAACTGTTGGGGCAAGTGCTGTTAGCGAGCACTTGTGAAACTAAACTATGAGCGATTATATTCTTTTTCAGAAGCAACCTGGCCACAAACGATAGCTCAACGAAGTGGCTTATCACGTGGAAATTAATAGCAGCACAATAATCTTAATTGCACGTTTCTAAATGTGGAAGGAAAAACCGGTGGGTCCAGAGAAAAATCCATGCGACCACGGGGAGAGAGAGATACCACAAACTTTAAATATGCAGCAGGCGTCAGGGTCGGGATCGAATCCACGACCTCCTGTAGACCAGGCGAGGTAGTTAACATCTCCTAGCCACCGTGATGATGATGAGAGAGAGAGACACGCAAACTCCAAACATACAGCAGGCGTCAGGGTCGGGATCGAACTCACGACCTCCTGTATACCAGGCGAGGTAGTTAACATCTCCTAGCCACCATGATGATGAGAGAGAGAGACACGCAAACTCCAAACATACAGCAGCAGTTAGGGTCGGGATCGAACCCACGACCTCCTGTATACCAGGCGAGGTAGTTAACATCTTCTAGCCACCGTGATGATGATGATGAGAGAGAGAGAGACACGCAAACTCCAAATATAGAGCAGGCGTCAGGGTCGGGATCGAACCCACGACCTCCTGTATACCAGGCGAGGTAGTGAACATCTTGTTACCGCGGCACCCAGTTAAGGCTGTAACAGAGCACGAGGCGACGGACAGCAGCACCACGCGCAGCATTAACAGCCGATGTTCACTCCACATGCCGATCAAGCCCCCCCCCCCCACTTGTGTGGTTAAGTTTCTTGGCGATTGGCGCTGGGGGTTTTGTAGTTTTGGCTGGAGCGTTGTAAAGTTGTTAGTCGTACGTATGTATATATGTATGTCGCCGGACAGACGTAAAATTTTGCCGCGGCCATTGCCGGAGAGACGCGTCATAACAATAAAACCAAAGTGTTTCAACACGACTGTTGCAAGACCGGTTCGACAAGGAGTGGCTCTGCTGAATCAAAATAAGGGCACGTATTGCTTCGCCAGTTGGGACAAGTCTGCACTGTCCCGAACTGAAACTGGAAAACCGCTGTGATTGGTTGATAGGTTCATCGGAATACGGCCGTCACATGTGCCCCCACCACCGTGTGTCAGATCGGTACGCAACGATACACCTCCACCCCCCTCCGCACGCGTTACGACGAATTTGATTGCTTCTGGGAGATGCTTTCAATCACGAAGCTCGTGTGGCATGCCAGGCGGTGGTGGCTACGCACATGGCCTTGTTATCCTGGGCTGTGGAAGCTTGGGGGGGGTGGGGTAGGTTTGGTGGGTCATCGCACAATCCGGCTCGCCCAGGAGATGGTGGTACATTGAGTGAATCTGTTCCCTCCGTGTTCTCTGGTTTCCTCCCACGTAAATGGCTGAAAACATCTTAATAGTGAGAGGACGGCAGAGCTTGGGCAGTTGTTGATAGCGCCGGCTCCCTACCACCTGGCTGCCATCCCGCTTGTCCATGCTTTGCCACGCCTCTGAACCGTAACAAAACACTTGCGCGCATTTGATAGCTGCAAGATGAGTTGGCGTCTGCTATGTGTGTACGTAATGTTGAATATCTTTCGCACCGTACGTAGCCAACCGTGCTAACGAGAGGTATGTGTGTGTGTGTTGCGCGCGGCTCGCCCCCGTGTCCGTCTCTTACAGCAAAATCGGCTCCCCTCCGAAATCCCACCTGGGTCCCTATGCGGGTCTGGGTGGTCACCTTCAACCGGGCGGACTCGGCGCTCCCGACCTGACTGGCAAAGGTGTCCCGGTGCCGCACGGACACCACCACCACCACCACCCGCACGCCCATGGGCACCCCCACGCGCACCCCATGAGCCGGGTGCTCTACCCCCCGCCACCGCCCCCGCAGCAGCCGCAGCAGCCACCGCCGCCGCAGCAGCAGCCGCAACCGCCCCCCCACCACGCGCCCCCCGTCGACGTTTACTTCCAGGACCCACGCGGTGGGCAGCAGCAGCAGCCGCCGCCGCCAGCGCTAACGTACGACCACCAGCACTACCGAGGTGAGGGCCTGCAATGCGTGCGGCGTGCTTGCGGGGGTGGCCTTGGCGTTGAACCCGACTTAAGTTGGCGCCGCGGTGGCTAGGAGATGTCGACTACCTCGCCTGGTATACAGGAGGTCGTGGGTTCGATCGCAACCCTGACGCCTGCTGCTCTATATTTGTACAGGTAGTCCCCGACTTACGGTGGTCCGACTTACGATATTTCGATCTTACGATGGCGATAGCGATATGACAAAATTGTCAAATATTTTACATTTCGCACGGCAGGCAAACGCAGCAGCGTACGAGGTGCGATACTGTACGTTGGGATGCTGCCGGGATGTACTGTACGCATATAGTTTATACAGTACGGTACTGTAAATTTCTCTGTTTTGATAAATTATCATCATTCTTTAAGACTCCTGGGTAGGCTAGGCCATTTTCGACTTACGATATTTTCGACTTACGATGGGGTCGTCGTAACGCATCTCCATCGTAAGTCGGGGACTACCTGTATATGCATGTCTGTCTCCCTGTGGTCGCGTGGATTTTTCTTCGGGTCCTCCGGTTTTTCCCTGCACGTTTAGAATCAACGTGCATTTAGAGTATGCGGCTGCTATACATTTACACGTGATAAGCCACTTCGTTGAGCTATCATTTGTGGCCAGGTCTCTTCTGAAAAGAGTTACATAGCTCATTACCTGGTAAAATAAAAATAGTAAATGGTAGTAGTAGTCTTATTCTTAAGTTTTTTTTTCGGTAAAGTCACGTAGGTAAAAAATTAAAATTAATAAAAGTAAAATAAAAATAAAATAAAAATCACGACGTTTCGGAGGCAACACAAGCTTCCGTCTTCAGGTGGAACCGTCACAGCACGACAGCTGTATCAAGTGAGAGAAATTCCATGAACACAGAATTTGTATATATACTGGTTGAGGGTGGGAGGAGCCAAGGTAGGCCCTGAATATTATTTTTGTGAGGTTCGGTGCGGCTGAAGCACGCTGTTAGGAATGAGCCTTTGTTGTGTAAACTAGGTGCGGATGATGTAAAGGTGCATGTCAAAAAACCTAAGAATATGAATCCTTGCAGTCACGAAAGCTTCAAATCTAGAAGTAGTAGTTTTAGTTGAGACGATATAGAATGCACGACGTACGATTACCGTGTCATGTGTCCCCGATACAGTCAGGATGTCGACGCGAATTAAGAATTTCGCGGCGCGATCTAAATTCTTAAACATACGGCACAAAAAAATATCAACTGTCGCCGTGCGATTCTAAATTGTGACGGTCCATAATTGCTCATTGTATCGTTGTCATCTTGAGTGTCTTTCGCGTTTGTCTCCGCAGCCCCGTACTGTCAGACCCAACACCCAAGCTCCCCGTACGCTCCCCGCTACGTGCACAGGCAGGGGGCCCCCCCGGACTCCTCTTTGGGGGGCCCTGCCGTGCCCCACGCGTACCCTCCCCCGTCACCGGCGGACCCCTACGGTCCCTACCCGCCGCCACCGCCGCCCCCCACGCACCACGCCTATGCGTCGCCACCTCCGCCGCCGCTCCCGGGCGGGTACCACATGGGTCACCACGGAGCGCCGCCTCCTCCGCCGCCGCCGCCCCACCACCACCACCATCACCACCACCACGCCGCCGCGGCGGCAGCGGCGTACGACTCTCGGCGGGCGTGGCGTGCGCCGCCGCCCCCCCACGCGCCGTCACCGTACCCGCCGGGCCAGCGCGATGGCGGCATGGGCCCGGCGCATGAGAGCGGCTACGCGGTGAGGGGTGGGCCGCTGCCACCGTCGCACGGCCATCCGGAGGCCGGGTACTACCAGCCGCCGCAGGGCGGGCACATGCCAGCGGCACCGCACGGACCACCGCAGATGCAGCAGCAGCAGCAGCACCGGCCCGCCATGCGTGCCACGGGTGAGAGCCACATTCGATTTTAGCTGTGCGCTCACGAATGAAAGCATTGCCGAGTCGAATCTCGTAACGATACGGTTGTTGGCCGGCGCAGATGTGATTTATCACGATTCGGCTGATTCCAGGTCTCGGGATTATGAAATATCAGTGTAGCCGTCGTGAGACGGACAGCTCATAGCTGGTGGGGTGGGGCACGCAAGTGCTGCTCCCTTTTGCGTGTGCCGGAGGTCACGTGTAGCGATCTCGGAGGTAGTTATGTGGTATCCGCTTTTGTGAGCCGTACAGCACCTTTAACCACACTAAATCGGGGGGGATGTTTTAATCCTGGCAACAACTGTGTTTATAAATTTGCGCTCTATGTTTGAATGCGTGGCCTGCATAAGCCTATCGGACCGCAGTGGTAACCATCCCTGAGATCGCACAGGGGCCTGTTCACGCAGCACCAGCCTGCCAAAGCGCTCGTTAGCCTTCAAGGAACATAATAAAAATTAACTCGGCTTTCTATATGCAGCGGCGCAATTCACACGCTTTTTACATGAAGCTTAAGTTACGCAGAGAAGGCCTGTCTGGAAAAGAACAGGAGAGTTTTAAGACGATTTAAAAAAGCGTAACAGATTCAGCTTCAGCACGAAGGGAATTCCACAATCGCGTAGCCTGGCTTCAGACACGCTCTGTTTTCTCCCACTGAGTGATGTTGCTGTTGTGTGCTTTTAACGACAATTTAAATTGTAGGTGTGTGGAGGGGGGGGGGGGGCATATATTTAGAAAATTTAAATTGGAAATTTTGATTTATTTTTATATTGCCAGGTAAAGCCCCCACAGAAGCAACCTAGACATCACAGATGATAACGAAGTGGCTTATCATCACCTGGAAATATATAGCAGGCAAATGCTCTAAACGTGTGACATTGATTCTAAATGTGGACGTGAAAAAAACCGAAGGCCCAGAAGAAAAATCCACGCGACCACAGAGAGAGAGACGCACAATCTGGAGTGACCAAGAGAAAAATCCACACGATCATGGGGAGAACATGCAAACTCCAAATAAACAGCAGGCTTCAAGGTCGGGATTGAACCCACAACCTCCTGTATACCAGGCGAGGTAGTTAACATCTCCTAGCCACCGTGATGATGATGAGAGAGAGAGAGAGACACGCAGACTCCAAATAAACAGCAGGCTTCAAGGTCGGGATTGAACCCACAACCTCCTGTACACCAGGCGAGGTAGTTAACATCTCCTAGCCACCGTGATGATGATGAGAGAGAGAGAGACACGCAGACTCCAAATAAACAGCAGGTGTCAGGGTCGGGATCGAACCCACGACCTGTATACCAGGCGAGGTAGTTAACATCTCCTAGCCACCGTGATGATGATGAAAGAGAAAGAGAGACACGCAAACTCTAAATATGCAGCAGGCGTCAGGGTCAGGATTGAACCAAACGACCACCTGTATATCACGCGAGGCAGTTAACAATGTCGCCAATTTGGCCCGCGACGTGCGTTTAACCGTGCCCCGTCTCCAACGCTGTCCTGGTGTCGTCCCGCAGGATCCGTACGCGCAGCCCCCGCCGAGCCTGGAGGAGCTGCACCGCCGGCGCGCCGAGTTGCTGGCGCAGCTGAAGGTGGCTCGCCCAGGCGCCCCGCCCGTCTCCCCGCCCCCCTTCGCCCACTCCCCTACGCCGCCCCCCCTCGCCATGGCCCCCTACGGCGGAGAGGAGTACGCGCCAATGGTGAGGGGCCGCATTGTGTTGGGGCCCCCCCAAACCGGGAGAGCGCGTGCCGGGCTGAGTGCACGTTGGTGCGCCTCGCTGCTGCTGCTGCTGCAACAGCTAATGCCGATGAATCTGCTGTGAGCTAAAGTGCTGTTGCCATTACTACTGTTGCTAGAGCTGCTGCATGTCGAGAGAGAGTACGTCCACCGAGTAAGATGGAGTCTGATCGTTGCTGTGTTCGGGAGTAGGAGTACGGGGAGTGATGTGGGTTGTGGTAGGCGTAGTGATAGATGTAATGGTAAGTGTAGTGTTGGGGTAGGGTTAATAATAGGGGTTTGGGTCGTAATAGGTGTTAACAACGAGCGGAGCGCCGGGTGGCTAAAGCACAGCAAGTTAGCACAGTAGGGGGTACAGATGGTGCATCAGCCAGTCATCTCAGTCAGCCGGCCCGTGGCACCTGGGTCTGCCCCGTGACCTGCCAGCGGGCGTTCGACACTTCACATGGCCTCAACGTGCACCTAGCCTGGCACAAGCGTCGTGGTGACGTCACCGCCACTGAGTGGCGAATGGCGGTTATTGTTGGTAGGCATTCAAATGAGTGTCGCCGGGTGCGATGTGTAAAACATCACCACTTGGGGGACAAAGGCAGCCGGGCGTGGTGCTGGCCACCCACCCCCCTCGTCTGCCGGTGATCGCCTTCGTAGGCGCTGCTGCTCACTGACGGCGCTTGCACAGTCGTTAAGGCTTCACGGGTTTGGGGGGGGGACCCTATTGCCCTCGCAGTACTCGGAGGAGGAGGAAGATGGAGGCGGCGAGGCGTGCGGGCGCGCGCCTCCCCTCGCCTACGCGGACAGCGAGTTCCCGTCGCAGTACTCCCCGTGGTCGTGCGAGGCCATCAGCTCGTACATCGCTGGCAAGGAGGCAAAGCCGCGCGACGTCATGGCCACCAGCGGCTCTGACATGACGGTACGGCTCCTGCGCGCGCTGTGCGGGGGGCGGGGGGCGGCGTTTGCGTCTTCAGGTGCTTTCATCTGGCTCTGTGAGCCTCGAGTAGCAACACTGAATTATCAGACTCCTATAGGGGCCTTGGTTTGGCTTTGTGAGTCTCGAGTAGCAATACTGAATTATCAGACTCCTATAGGGGCCTTGGTCTGGCTCTGTGAGTCTCGAGTAGCAATACTGAATTATCAGACTCCTATAGGGGCCTTGGTTTGGCTTTGTGAGTCTCAGGCAACAACACTGAATTATCAGACTCCTATAGGGGCTTTGGTATGGCTCTTGAGGCTTAGGCCAGCAACACTGAATTATAAGACTCTCCGATAGGGGATTTGAACTGGCTCTGTGAGTTTTGGGCAGCAACACTGAATTATAAGAATTCTCTAATGACCTTGGTCTGGCTCTTTGAGTCTCAGGCCAGCAACATTGAATAATAATACTCCGATAGGGGCCTTGGTCTGGCCCTGAGCCTCAGGCCAGTAACACTGAATGATGACTCATTTAGGGGCCTCGCTCTGACTCTGTGAGTCTTGGACAGCAATATTGATGATAAGAATTCTCTAGCGACCTTGGTCTGGCTCTGAGCCTCAGGCCAGTAACACTAAATGATAAGAATTCTCTAGCGACCTTGGTCTGGCTCTACGAGTACCCGGTGCAGAGTGAAACATCAGCACTGGGGAGTCGAAGCCGGGCCACACCACCGTGTAGAGATCGACAGTCTACCAGCAACCGACAAAATATTCGGTGAGAAAGGAACCCACGCCCATGGGTCTCTGTGAGATTGGAGCTTAATTGTAGTCGGGTTCGTCCGTGTCTGCGTTCAAGAAAATATTGAAACACCCGGCATACCACATCCAGGACACCTCTCGCTACCGCCGCGGCTTGCTACTAGTCACGTGCCACTTACTCGATTCTACCAGCGACCCAAATTACATTCAGCGAGACATTAAACCCCGGCGCGGGACGAGGTGGGGCTGCCCCCGGCGATTTGATGAATTCTGCCGATCCGGCGTCCGTCTCCGTGACACGCGCGTCTCTCTGCCGCAGGTGAAGCTGAGTCGTAGCGACACCCCGTCGTCGCAGACGGAGTGCGTGCGCTGGGGCGAGGCGTACCACCGCTCCACCGACGAGATGTGGCTCGACCAGGTACTACTTCCTGTCCATTCGTCCGCCCCCCCCCACCAACTCCCGATGGAGTCGTCCTGTTGGGTGACGTTAATGGAGTCGTCCAATTGGGTGATGTTAATAGAGACGTCCTGTTGGGTGACGTTAATGGAGTCGTCCTGTTGGGTGACTTCAATGGAGTCTTCCTATCGGGTGACTTTAACGAAGTCGTCCTTTCGGGTGATTTAACGGAGTCGTCCTCTGCAGTGACTTCAATGAAGTCGTACTATTGTGTGACTTCAATGGAGTTGTCCAGGAGCGATTGGAAGATCGGTTCGATAGCAACAATAGGCAGGCACACACGGGCGTTCAAAACCGGCGTGTCGCAGATGCGGGGCAGCGGAGGCGTCGCTGAGATGCTGGGGTGGTTCAAGCTCGGGCCCTGCGGAGGCTTCAGGCCCGTGATGCAATTGTCACTGGCAATGGTTGCTACTGATTTTTACCGCCACACCCCCTCTCCCCACCAATGTGGTAAACAATTTAACAGCGCTCCCTGGTGGTCGATTGATGAATTTTTCTTCACTGGCGATGAAGTCGCGTTCCATCCGATGTCCCTTCGTGCATGGATTCGTGAGTTTATTTTGACGTTAGTTGATTTGTTCATGGGTCTCTTCATTCACTTTTTCACCATTGCATTTCAATGTGCATTCGTTCGAATGCCAATGCTCATTACCTCGCCTGGTATACAGGAGGTCGTGGGTTCGATCCTGCTGTATATTTGGAGTTTGCATGTGTCTCTCTTCCCGTTGTCACGTGGATTTTTCTCCGAGTCCTCCCGGTTTTTCCCCTCCGCATTTAGAAACGTGCATCTTGAGTATTTCGCCGTTATAAATTTCCACACGATAAGCCACTTTCATTGAGCTATCAGGTTAATTCTGAAAAAGAGCTATACAGCACAGTGTGCCTTACCCTGGTAAAATAAAATAAATAGTTTAGTTTCGAATTTACACCATCGTGCCTTTGTTTCGTGAGCACATCACCCTCCTGCTCTCTTGTCTCTGCACTGGCTACCCGTTAAGTCTCGAGCGAGCTATCTGATCCTGCAAGGCACTCACTGGGTTAGCCCCACGATATTACTGGAACTGATTCTGTTTTTAAGCTCCCAACGAGGTCCCTGAGATCTTACGGGATCGCCTTCTTCTCTAAGTACTCCGAGGTCAAGGTTCTGTTCTTGAGGTGATCGGGATTTTTCCAGCGCTGCTTCCAGGTTTTCTGGATAGTTTTTTGTCTTTACTCATTAGACGATCGGAGTCGTTAGAACCATTGTTTAAGTCCTCTCTTGACAAACTCACCTGAAAAGTTCTAGGCCGTTTACCCTGCAGGTTCTGTTTATTTCCTGGCTTTCCATACATGGTGGTGTCTCGTTGTGATCCACGGATGCAGTGCGGCACTTTTACAAATGTGAATTGTTATTATTTCCATTAATTCATCGGTGCACTCGTACATTCATTCGCCGATTCAATTGGGCATTCGATCATTCGTCGGTTATGGACATTAACGTGCTCGCTTGTTCGTTCGTACGGCCATCCGTCGCCCGTCCTCATGCCCGCTCGCCCGTCAACCCTGTCGTCACGTGCTCTCCGCCCCAGCGCCGCCCCAAGGACGAGGACCCCATAATCCCAGTTTGGCGAGAGCCCCACGGTGTCCAAGTGGGGCGCCATCTCCCGCTCGGCGCGCACCTCCTTCCGCAACACGGGCCCTGTGCAGGCCACAGCCTCCCAGGGCTCGGCCACGCGGCCTGTCAACGTCACCGGTGAGGGCTGACAGCCACGCACGCCCTGCCACCCACACACACCCAGCCAGGCAACTACTCACCCACCCCAGCCAAATATCCAGCCACCCTGCTACCCACCCACTCAGCCACCCAACCAACCAAACACCCGCTCAGCCAACCACCTACCCAGCAAACCACCGAACTACCCACCCAGCCAACCACTCACCCAGCCAACCATCTACCCACACGACCAGCCAACCACTCAACCACCGACTCTCCCAGCCACCCAGCCAGCCACCCACCCACCCAGCCACCTACCCACCCAGCCACCTACCCACCCATCCACGCACCCACCCAGGCACCCACCCAGCCACCCAGCCACCTACCCACCCATCCACGCACCCACCCAGCCACCCACCCAGCCACCTACCCACCCATCCACCTACCCACCCATCCACGCACTCACCCTGCCACCCACCCAGCCACCTACCCACCCATCCACCCACCCAGCCACCCACCCACCCATCCACCCACCCACCCATCCACGCACCCACCCACCTGGTCGTGTATAAAGCACAGACCTTGCGGTGGCCGGGCGGCTCAAGAGGGGCCGTGCGACACCGTCATTGATGTGCAGCGCGCACCGTACTGATCGGTCGATGTCCGCCTGTCACTCGTCCTTAGACGCCCCGATTCTCACCCCGTGCTTCGCAGACTACTTTGTCAACTACTCGAGCTCCTGCGGATGGAACTCGCCCACCAACGTGTACCCGTCTCAGCCCAGCCCCACCCCGCAGTACACGGACAGGTACGACCACGGCACGCGAAGATCCGGCCTTCCATACACACACGGGGACCCCCCCACCCCACCCCACCCACACGGCCCGTTGGTAGACTCCTGACTCGGTTAAACTAAAACCACAAAAACGTTTTATTTTACCAGGTAAGCACCCACTGAGCCGGCAACACATGATAGCTCAACAAAGTGGCTTAGCGCGTGGGAAATTATAGCAGAGATTCATACTCTTAGTTCTTTCGGTAAAGTCACGTAGGTAAAAAATGAAATTAAAATTAATAAAAAATATAAACAATTAAATCACAGTGACAGTTTCACCTGAAGACGGAAGCTTGTGTTGCTCTTTTATTGTTTTTATTTTTTATTAATTTTAATTCATTTTTTACCTACGTGACTTTACCGAAAGAACTCAGAGTATGAATCCTTGCAGTCACGAAAGCTTCAAATCTAGAATTATAGCAGAGATGTTGACTACCTCGCCTGGTATACAAGGAGGTCGTGGGTTCGATCCTGATCCTGACTCCTGTATATTTGGAGTGTGCATGTTCTCTCCCATGATATGTGGATTTTTCTCTTGGTCACTCCAGATTTTTCCTTCCACGATTCGAAACATGCTTTTTGAATTATTTGGCTGCTCTAAATTTCCACGCGATAATAAGCCACTTCGTTGAGCTATCATTTGTGGCCAGGTCTCTTCTGAAAAATAGCGATATAGCTCAAGTGCGCCTTACCTGGCAAGCTAAGCATAGTTTTTAAGTTTTAGGTTTTAGTTGCCTTCCCCATGCGACTGAACGGCCGTGACGATGACGTGATTGTGCTCGTGTCCGCGTCGGTGCGTGTCTGCGTGCGACAGGGAGCGGGCGATGGCACCTTGCTCGGAGCGAGACCACATGCGGCTGGAGATGGAGCTGCAGGCGGTGAACCACCAGATCAGCCAGCAGAGCCAGATACACGGCATGCAGGTAGGCGTGTGCCACAAGCCCTAACCGTAACCACAGCAGATGATCAGGACCCTTGCCTTGATCCTTACCCTAGCCGTAACAGTAACCACACCAAATTACCGCCCGCTAGCCTTAACCCTTACCATAATTATACTCGCTCACTTGACCCCACTGCTAGCCGTAACCATAACCACACGAGATGTGGAGTTTCCAGCGTCTGTTTCATTTCCTGTAAACCGGAGATGCACACCCACCCCCCCATGCCCGTCTCTAACTTGGAGTCTTGAACTCTGGGTCTGGAGCTCTGGGTCTGGAACTCTGGGTCTGGAACTCTGGGTCTGGAACTCTGGGTCTGGAGCTCTGGGTCTGGAGGTCTGGAGCTCTGGGTCTGGAACTCTGGGTTTGGAACTCTGGGTCTGGAGCTCTGGGTCTGGAGCTCTGGGTCTGGAACTCTGGGTCTGGAGCTCTGGGTTTGGAACTCTGGGTCTGGAACTCTGGGTTTGGAACTCTGGGTCTGGAACTCTGGGTCTGGAGCTCTGGGTCTGGAGCTCTGGGTCTGGAACTCTGGGTCTGGAACGCTGGGTCTGGAACTCTGGGTCTGGAACTCCGGATTTAAAACTTCTGGTCTTGAGCTTGGAGGCTTGAACTTGAAGCGTTGAACTTCGGATCTTGAACTTGGAGTCTTGAAATCCGTGTCTAGAACTTATGGTCTAGAACTTTCAGGCTTGAACTTGAAGCCTTCATCCTCGAGTCATGAAATCTGGGCCTTGAACCCCAGGTGTTGAGCTTCGGCGCTCGAACTTGGAGGCTTGAAATGTTGAAGCTTTATGCTTCGGGTCTGTAACTCGCGAGTGTGTGGAGCTGACGGTGATGCGCCTCGTTGTGCCGCGCAGGCGGCCAGTAACACGGCCCTGCTGCAGAGAGAGGCGCAGGCGCTGGCGCTGCAGCCGTCGGCGGGGCCGCATCGCAGCCCGGAGGAAGCCGGCGGCGGCGTTGGCGGCGTTGGCGGGGTGGCGTACGGCGCGAGCGGCGGGCGTAGTCGGCGCTCGGGCGACGGTGAGTCCCAGTCGTCCCCCGCGACGGACCACACCGCAACAAAAATGTGGGGGGAGCGGTGGCACAGCGGTTAGCGCTCGCGTGCGTTGCGAGCACGGCGATCCGAGTTCGATTCCCACTTACGGACGACACCGGTGAACCGGTCCTGGGCCTCCCCTAGGTCGACTCAGCTGGTGTAGTGTTTAAAAACATCGCCACTGTGGAGACAAAGGCGGTCGGGCGAAGTGTTGGCATCCCCACCACCTCATGTGCCGTGTACGGGCCTTCATAGGCACTATTCGCTAACAGCAAGTCCAGGCTTAAGAACGTACTTCTCTCCCGCTCTCACTGCCTCTGTCTGTAATATAAATACGCCCACTGTTCCTGAACAGCATCTTGAAAGTGCGTTTGCGTTTAGACGCTGCGTGAAGCCACATTGCGTTGACTTGCATATAGACCCATAGACTCGCACAGAGACCTACAGCTTCACCCATACACCCAGATAGTGAACCCATAGACTATCAGAGACCCATGTACCCAGATCGGGACCCATAGACTTGGATAGAGACCTATGACTGACTTTCTATTACACAACTACGTCCACTGTTTCTGTACTGAATGTTGAGACGCAGTCACATTTAGATGTTACACAATCCATGCCCTTGTGCATGACTTTGTGTCTTACACCAAACAAGCGAGTGGTCAGTTGCGTAAATGATGTTAAGCATTCATTTTGCTTGGTTTGCGACGTAAGTTCACGGGAACTAACCGGACATGTCACGTGCCGAAATTTGACGTAACTGGCCACACGGCTCCTTTTTGTCCGGTCGGTGCGTTCCCCCCGCCCTGACCCCCACGTCGCCACTTTACACCCCCCCCCCCGCGTAATAATGAGCTTTGCCCGGCGGGTGTCTCTGTTTGCGGGGGGCAGACCGACCCACTGCAGGCGGATGGGGGGGTGACGGTGTCCGCTGCCGCGACGGACGGTGGGGCTGGCGCCGACGAGCAGGTGGCTGACGGGGAGGGGCCGGACGATCTGGTGAGTGCGTGTGTGTGCGCGCTTGTGCGTGTGTGCGCGCGTGCGCGTGATTGTGCACGTGCGTGAATATGGGGAGCGGCAGTGTAGCGTTTTGCGCGCTGCGCTCCAAACCTGGCGGCCCGAGTTCGATTCCCGCTCTCGTAGCCACCAACAGCAGTGACGATTATCTCAACCGTTCCTGGGCCTTCCGTAGGTTGACTTGGCCTTAAAATGAGTACATCATACAAGTGTGTATACATCATCAGTTGGGAGACATAGGTGTCTGGGTATGATGCTGGTCACCCCCCCCCCCCACACCTCGTCCACCATGCCAGCCTTTAACAGTGACATGGGGGAATCTGTCTCTGCTTTTTGTGTATCCGTACATTTACACGTGTGTGTGTGTGTACGCGCGTGCGTGCCTCCCTCCCTTGACCAGGACTTTGAGCACTGCCTGGGGCTGGAGCTAACCCAGGATGAGTTGGACTGCCCTGGGGAGCCCGGCCAGGCGAGCAGCCAGGCCTCGCCAGGTCCAAGCAGCGACGAATCCCGCGCCGCGCCGCAAATGTACACAGCCTCGTACGTCTCTCCCATACCCACGCCCCAAAATATTCACCCCCCCCCCCAACACTCACCACTCACCTATTATACTCACCACTCACCTCCGACAGTAGCACAGTTCGAGGCTACGTGCGGTGTGAAAGAAGTTACACGTGCATACGTACGTACACACATTCTGATCGTGCCTATTAAATATTAATTTGGATCATTCACGGCGCGGAAGTGTCATGGTTTGCGCACTGCGCCAAGAACCTGACGACCCCAAGTTCGATTCCCTTTCACGACCCAACATCGGTGACGAACAACAGCACCGGTCCTAGGCCTCCACAAGGTCGAGTGCCTGGTACGGTGTGTCAACATCAGCACCGGGGAGACAGGCCACCCACTCCCCCCCCCCCTCGTGTGCCGTGCCAGCCTTTATAGGTGCTCGCTAACAGCACTTGCCCCAACAGTCTGTTTAAGGTTATACGGGGGATCTTTGTGTGTTTGAGAGTGAGTGCGTGTGAGTTTGCCTCTGGAGTGTGAATATTCTCCCTCTGTTCTGCTTAGAGGGCTTCCTCCCTGGGCCATAACACACACACACACACAATGTATTTGCCTAACATACCAACAATAGATTCCACACAGCAATTGAAACTACACGAGTCTCAGCGAGAGTCTTTCCTGGGTAGACAAGCCAAATTATAATAATGATGTTAAATAATAACAGCTAAATCGCGGGTCGGGAAGCTGTTCGTAATCCACGCGCATGCACGATTGTTTTCGTCTTTGTACACAGCGACATGATGGCCGGGGTCACCGGCCCTCCCCCCAGCGTTTGTGTCGTCACCGCGGCAGCAATGGCAGCTACGGCCGCTTCCGATTCGACGGCATCGGCGGGAGCGGCATCGGCACCATCGGCACCTTCGTCGTCATCGGCGGCGGCCTGCCACGGCGGTCGTGACGACGCCGCTGCCTCGGCACTGGCAACGAAGACCGCCGCGCTCGCCATCTCCTCCTCGGCGCAGCCTCAACCGCAGCTGAACGGCGTCGCCGATGCCGGCTCGCTGGCTTCCGTGTGACGCAGCGCCTTGCCTCGTCGCCAGTGACAGCTTGCCGCCGATAACTAAATGAGACGATGGGCGCTTGCTTTTTCAGCAGGCGCCGTACGCCGGTAGGGGGAGTGCGCGCTCTCGGGCTCGGGTCCGGCACCTCTCGTGCCGATCGACAGGGGTGGGGGGGAAGCTCCCGGCCTTGGCGTGGGGGGGGGGCGCGGGGGCTGGTGGCTTGGAGCGGTTGGGTTTGTGTCGGCGCCGTTCGCGACATTGGGACGATTTCAAACGGGTGACGATGATCGACGGGATGATCTACGCGTAGTTTTCAAACAAAATAAATGAAAGTCTGGTGCTGTCGCCGGGGGGAGTGGGGGGGCCAGAAGGGGGTGGGGGGGGCGGCTGCTCTCCCACTGGTCTCCCGGCGCTCTCGAACCCCGTTGGGTTGTTCGTTTTCTCACAGCCCATTTTGTTATTTTATTGGGGATTTCGTTCAATTCTGTCGTTCACCGTTTTGTCTTCGCGGCGCGGCTTGCCTGGACGCGCCGTTTGTTCTTCGACGGGGGGGAAAATAGAGAAGAGAGAAAGATTCTAATTGTCAAAGTGTTAGAACCGTTGGGACGCATGGCGATGGACGATCGACTCGATTAGCGAGTCGGTGCATTTGATTGCATGCCTTCCCCGCCCCCCAACCGCCACTTCCTGAGACGTCCCATCGTCCAATGCAGCCCCCTTCGTTGTTAACGATCTCACGACCACCACCACCAACCGTGCACGCGTTGCAACGCTCGCACCTTCTCTGTCTCTCCCCCCTCCAAGATGTCGTCAATAGCCAGCAAGGCAGTGGCTCGTTAGCGGTTAACTAGTACGACACAAACGAAGCTGACTTTGCGTGCCTTGATTGGTCGGGAGGGAAACAAACGGACGACAAGAAAAAAGGGAACCGGGAAAGAATGTGTTCTGCGAAGCGACTTTCGATTTGGCGGGTGCTCATCGCGTAGCCGATCGGTCGCTGAGAGCAAAGGGGAGGGGTGCTTTTCGCCCCCCCCCCCCCCCCCCCCCAGTTTGAGACGTCGTACGTCAATGAGCCAGCCGACAACCGGAGGCGACGATCGTGGGCGGCGAGTCGGTCCGGGATTGCCGCTGATTTGTCTGACGAGGTGGCTGCCCGAGGCCCGCTCCCGTTTTTTTATTTTTTACACCGCCACCACCGTCGCCACCACCGTCGCCACCACCGTCGCCACCACCGTCGCCGCCCTTCGTTCCCAGCCAGACTTCGAGAGCAGGTTTTAGAAGATGGTCTCCTCGACTTATCGCAACCCTTTGGCGATGATTGATTCGAGGGCGTTGCCACTTTCTCTTCCCTCCGCTCGCCGACGTGACGGCGCTTTTATCGGTTAGCCCGAGGACAAAATGTTTGGCTCACCTTTGAGTAAATGTGCAGGAAGAGGTGTTTTTTTCCCACTGCTGGTTCCTAGGGGATAAATAGCGCGGGGGCGAGGAGAGAGGGCGAGGAGGGGAAGATGACGGGTGGGCTGGATTGGGCAAGGTGGTTGTCGCAGCTGTTGCTGTGCCCGATGTTAAAACACGCCAAAATTACAACCAGCGGGGGGGGGGGGGGGGGTATGGGATTTGTAACGTGAGCTGTTATTATCGGTTTTAATTGTTTCCCTGCTCGTGCCTGGTGAGGAACGCCCGCACGGTGAGGGCGCCCACGCTCACAGCGGTTGGGCAGGAGAGGTGGGCGACGTTGGGTGATGCGCCGAGTGCTTAACTGGAAAGAATTTTAATTTTTTTATTCCTGCACCAGGAAGAAAACCCGTTTCCTCTTCACGTTACCGTTCCGTTTTTCTTGAGCGTTCACTTCCGCCCACTTCTTCCACCGCGCCGCCCCCGCCGCCGCTCTTTCCGCCAGGCCCTTTGGTGGCTCTCGAGCTAGCTAACGGCGGGCCCAGATCACCGGCTCGGTTTTTTTTATTTTCTTTTTTCGAAAGCCCTGGCTTCTGTGAAGCGGAGCAAAATGCAGTGTCCGAGCCGAGCGTTTGTCCCCGACAGAGCTCGCTCGGCATTTCTCTCGACGACGCAGAGAAAACGCGCCGAGAGAGGCCCATAACCGGCACCAGCGGCAGCATCAAAACGGACCCGTCCAAACGCACCGTCAGATTTGAAAGGGGAACGAACGGGAGGAGTAACGACCGGGTGGCCGTGGAGCTGGGTGGGTGGGTCGAGAAGGCGTCGCCGCGGTGCGGTTTTCCCCGTCGCGGTTTCTGCGCTGCCAGTGAGCGCAGGGAATCGTGGCGGCGACGCCGCAGATTTCGACGCGGGCAGAGTTTTGAGCGGGGGGGGGGGGGGCGGTGGGAGGGGTGCGATCCGCCGCCAGTGTCTTCCAATCCACTTCTCCGCGTGCGTGCGTGCGTGCGTGGATGGTTGAATGAATTTCTCGGCTGGAAAACATGAAGCGAGATCTCGCCCATCGACCCGACCTGGCACCTTGGGCACTCCACTGGCTCAGAGCAGAGATGTTTTACGAGTCAGCCGCCGCTTGAGTGGTGGGGCCCATCTTTCGCGGTGTCATTTTGCTTGCGTGGCCAACGGGTGGAGACATTGTTTTTGTTTAAACGATTAATCTGCCGCGCTATCTGCGCGTGCGTTTTTTTGCGGCTGCGCTGCATGTAGCTCTCACCGGTTTTTTGTTTCTTGGCACCAAGCGGCGTTTGCCGTGAGACGCGTCCGAGAGGAAAGCTCCCAGGGCGCGTGGGTGAGACATCGGGACAAATTGCGCCAGACCGCCACGCGTCACCAAGCCGGAAGCTTATCGCCCGTAGGAGATCGATTCCGCTAAAGAATGACCGCACCTCTCTGGTGGCGCCACCAACTTCTGCCGTGGCCCATGGGCTTAATTGTCGCCGCCGCCGCCGCCGTTGTGTTTTGTTATATTTTTATACGATTCGGAGCGAGGGTTATGTCTACTGGATGAGAATGGAAAGGCCGGGTGTGTGCCTCTCATCATGCGGGGGCGGGAGGAGGAGGAGGCGGGTAAAACGGGAGAAGCGGTGCGTCGAGAGCGCTCCGAGCTGCCGCGTTAGATGTGTCCGGCGACGTGCCGAAAATTTAGCCGAGCATCTGCCGTGACCTCCACGACGGGATGGCCGTGACGTGGGTGAGAGGCGAGAGAAGGAACCCCCCCCCCCTCCCCCATCCGCGTGGGACGCGAGCGAGAGAGCGAGGGGGGGAGCAAGAGAGAGAAACGCGCGCAGGAACCCGGGAGCGAGGTCGTAATTTAATTGACGCTTATTTTTGTATCAGAAAGTAGCCAGTGTTTTTTGCGCGAGCGTCACTCTCTCACGCCCCCCCCCCCTCGCTGTCCCCGAGGCCCGACCTGTCAGCGACTATCAGATGGGGGACGGGAGTGGGGGGGGGAATTGAAATAGGTGGTGACTGAACTGCACAGTACAGTGAGTGTACAGTTTGTAATTTTATTTTATTTCAATTGTTCATTTTTTAACCTCCGATGTGCTTTTTTGTTTATCTGCCTGTCGTTGAAAATTTAATTTTTTTTATTTTTTTTATTTTCCTGAAAAAGTCCTTCATGGTTAGTGCATTTAATCTTTTTGTTTAAAAAAGGGAGATAGGAGATAAATCTCTTCATATTTAAACATCTTACAGATGTGTGAAATCCGAGCTATTGTGCTGTATTACAAACGAATGGACTTGAGTTGACATCCCCCCCCCACACCTCTGCCCCCCCCCCCCCCCGGGAATGATCCGCTCCGGAGGAAGTGGGGGGGGGTCAGGGTTACGCAGACCCCTTTGCATTTGTTCTTATGGGTGTCTTGGATCGTACCACTTAGGAAGTAGGGGTGGTTCCCCCGCGTGTGCGTTTATTTTCAGGAAAATAAAATATTGTGCTGTTATAGGTTATGCTACATCTGTTTGGGGGAGAGGGGGGGGGGATCGGGCAAGAATGAGGAATTGCTTAATAATAAT